TAAAAATCCTTCAATTAGGCGAGCCGATTTTTGAACTCCATTGTAAGAGCTAAGGTGCATTGAACACAGCGTGACAGTCCTGGGCTAAGTGTTTTGGACACAATTCTCCTTCATTCCTCATGGCAACCCTCTACTATTATACCTTATCATCCGCAACGCAGAGGCAAAGAACCCCAGTGAGCAAGCCAGGGACCCAGACCTCGAACCAGGTCTGCTTCTCTCAGGACCCAGATGGCAGAGCTTGAGCACTTAGTTCTATGTAACAGCCCCTCTCTCAGGCAAGGCCTAGAATTCTGCCTGTGCCTTGAAACCCTTCTCTCTCCTGCATAGCGTGTCCCAGTCCTGACTCTACATAGTGGCTTAACACTTTTTGTGGGAGGAATAAATGGAATGAACGAACTCTCTAGAATTTAGACTTCTTCTGCAACCCACATTCACACCTGAAGGAGGAAGGAGCCAGATTTTCGAATTTCGAAGTTTTCTCCTTTAGGATTATGGAAGTCTGGTCAGGAAGTCCTCATTTTTTGATAAGCTCGCTCTTGCTGTCTCCAGTTAAATAACAAAGTGCTCTTGAACTGGTTTATTTCCTGCATTTGTTTCATTCAAGGAATAGTGTGAGAAAGCTTTGGAAATAAAACATTTCATTTATAAGCTATCCGGCAGCCCACCATCGGTAATTCAAAACTATCCTCCTATATAAATTGGTATCATTATACCTTGAGAACCTTACTGAAAAATAATATTTGTGGACCTCTGACTTGCAATGTATTGCTCTGAAAGCAAGAATAACACAGCAGCATTTGTTTCCACAGGAGATTTCAGAATTTTTAGGAGAAAAATGTGTTAGACCTTTATAGGATCAATCTTATGAAAAATTAAATGGTTAATGGGCTTTGGGCTTTACAAATGAGCTTCTGCCATAAAACCTAAATAGAATGGGATCCAGAGTGTGTCTTTCAGGAAAGAAAGAGCTAAAAGGGAATCAGAAATCTGATTTTTCCACAGGTTAAGCCAAAATCTCCATCATTTCTACATGTACAGTAGCCTCAACTAGTGTCTTGTATTAATCCCAGCCCAGTCCTATATGGCGCTTTTGATGAAAATGATAGTTAAAGTTATGCATCTAGGCAATGAATAATAAAAATTGATGGAGACAAAGTATCTTATCATGGTCATTTGAAATATTGGAATTTGGACAAAATAATCCAGGGAGGAGTGTTAAGGTGGGGAAGGCTGCAATATATATTTTAGTAGAAGGAATCTGTATAATCAACACAGCTGCAGGTTTATCTGGAGATGAGAATAGCTGGGAGGGGAAACTGTAAATAGGAGATGAAGCCGGCTTGAGCAGAGGAAACGAGTCATCAGAAGGCTTTAGGAGAAGCGCTGGCCTCATACTCTGTTGTGCCCCAGCCTTTAGCACGAACCTCATGTTCAGTCAATGCTTCATAAAAACGTATTGGATGCGTGGATGAGGAAGTCTAGGGTTAACATTGCATTTGAAAGGCATGTCTTAAAAATTAGTAGACTATTTTTTTTTGGCAGTTTTAGGGTTACAGAAAAATTGAGTAGAAAGTACAGAGAATTTTCATTATATTCCCTTTCTTCTGCACACCATTTCCCCTGTAATATTTTGTATTAATGTGGCACATTTGTTGCAATTGATGAGCCAACATGAATACATTATTATCAACTAACTTCCATAGTTTACATGAAGGTTCCCTATTTGAGTTGTCCATTCTATAGGTTTGGACAAACGTGTAATGACATGTATCCACCATTACAGTATCATACACAATACTTCCACGGCCCTAAAAATCTTCTGTGCTCTGCCTCTTCATCCCTCCTTCCCTCTAAGCCTGTGGCAACTGATTCTTTTACTGTCTCCATAGTTTCGCCTTTTCCAGAATGTCATAGAGTTGGAATCATAGAATATGTAGCCTTTTCATATTGGCGCCTTGCACTTAGTAACATGCATTTAAGATTCCTCCATGTCTTCTCCTGGCTTGATAGCTCATTTCTTTTTAGTGCTTAATGATATTCCATTATCTGGATTTACCACAGATTATTTATCCATTCACCTACTGAGGGACTCTTGATTGCTTCCAAGGTTTGGGCAATTGTGAATAAAGCTGCTATAAACATCCACGTGCAGGGTGTTTGTAGAAAGTTATCACAGAAACCACATTTTTTTAAAAGGCACTTCTTCACAGGATTCTTATTTTCTTCATGCTAGGATACTTCTAAATATCTGAGAGGTGAATTTCTTTTGAAACAGAAGTGCATAGTTGCATGTGCTTTTGCAAAATTCTAATGACAACACAAGGAAGTAAAACTCTCAGTCCTCTGCTATCTGCCTAGTGTGTATTATTTTACTTAGAAATTGTTATGTGAGCCAAAAGGGGCATTTTTCCTTCATAGTATAAGTGGGGGTTATATCACCTTAATGCTTCTTCCTATGTCAACTCATTAAACTTACTACGTTTTTCAAAGTGATAAGGCTTAAATGAATATCAGAGCCGAATAACCCCAAGCCCAAGTGCACAGGTGGTTTGCCTAGCTGTACCAATAACACCATAATAAATGTCTGTCTGATAATGATTTGTCATGGGAGACAAATCGCTAAAATCGCCCTCGTGCATCTTATTCCTTGGTTCTGAGTATGACATTTATGTATATGATGTGGCTTCTAGGAATGTTTATTATTTGAGTTAAAACATTGAGAAAGATTGAACGTACTCTAGCCTGTGGCATTTGCAATCAAATAGCAAAAATATGTCTTGTAACAAATGACTGGATCCTGCTTTTGCATCAGAAATCATCTCTGCCACCTCTGTGGAGAGTTGACTCTGCAGTCCTTCTCTCCCTTTTCTGGGCCAAGTCAGTGAGGGTGCAAACCTGGGGGGGAGGGCCTGTCTCCACTGGGGTGTGACCTACCTGCTGGATAGCATGTCCCCATATTCAGTTGTTATTTCTGCTGCGAATACTTGGCATCCTTGTAGAATTCCAACTGACCAAAAATTTGGTTCACATGTGGAGAGTAATGATGCCACAGCCACGCCAAGAGGACATGCAAAGGTTTATTGGTCACAAAATGAGGCTCTCTGGGGAGAGCAGGGTCTTTTCTAAGCTGGTGTGAAAGTAGCTTGAGAGATGGGAACGAGACTGATTCAGTTTTCATGGTGGGTAGGAGTTGGGGCTCAGATGAGGGTTCCCGCAGGCAGGCAGGAGCTTGCCTAGTTTGGATCTCCCATGGGCGCTGGAGGAGGGAGCACCCAGGCTTTCTTATCAGCCTCTGTGGCACAAGTGGAAGAGGAAGAGGTGAGGCTTAAAACTCTTAGCAATCAAACATAAAAACCTGGAGGCAGACCATGTAATACTCTAAAGTATGACAGCATGCATTAACTGAGTAAATTAAACTAGCAGCATTCGAGTCATCTAGATCTCTGTGGAAATTGTAAATGATATGCCTCTAGTTTGACCATCATTTTCTTCTGATTTGAGAGCCGGTGATAGTTTCCTAATCAGAGTCCATGTTTCAGCTGCTTCTCCAGTCTTCCACTGGCTTCTACCTTTTTTTCTCATGGAAAATTTTAAGCATAAACAGAAGTAGACAGAAAAGTACAGTAAACTCCCATGTGGCCTTGATCCACATTTAACAGTTATGAACTCATGCCTAATCTTGTTTAATCTCTACCCCATACTCACTCCCCATCTTCCTCTACTAATTTGAAGAAGACAGGAGCCATCATATTGTTTCATCCATGGGTATTTCAGTATGTATCTCTAATTTTTTTTTTTTTTTAAAGATTTTATTATTTCCTTTTTCTCCCCAAAGCCCCCCGGTACATAGTTGTATATTCTTCGTTGTGGGTTCTTCTAGTTGTGGCATGTGGGACGCTGCCTCAGCGTGGTCTGATGAGCAGTGCCATGTCCGCGCCCAGGATTCGAACCAACGAAACACTGGGCCGCCTGCAGCAGAGCGCGCGAACTTAACCACTCGGCCACGGGGCCAGCCCCTGTATCTCTAATTTTTTTTCCCTTAATGTCTTTTTTACTCCTCTGTGATTCTCACTGATTCCATCCACTTAACTACACACACGGTTTGAGAGTCTGGGTTTTAGAATCAAGTTTAACTCTTACTTTCTTGCTCTCCCACTTCCTAACTGTGTGGCCTTGAGCAGGTTACTGATCTTTTCAGAGCATTGTTGCTCTCATCTGAAAATGGAGCCAGTGCTATTTACCCATAGGTGTTAGTGTGGTGTAAACAAGAGAACATGTAATAAAGTCCTTTGCACATAGAGAGTGCTCAACAGATAGTAGCAATTGTTGTTGTTGATACTGTTATTGTTTTGAAGTGTCGTTATTTGGGGATAATAATCAATGCTAGGTTTTGGGAAAGGAGGTGAGGACAAGAAAATGGAAAATATGAGGAATATTGATACCATGATAGACGGTTTTAGACTTGATTATCTACTGTAAGTAAAAGTTAAAAGAGAATGTTCATCATAAAATATTTGTAGACATATTTGTTCATGGAAGAGGAGCATTGATGGTTTCATTTTTTCCATTCAATAGGGCAAAATAGTAGACTTTATAACCTCAAGACTATGGGCAGCTGGTGATTGCAACAATTTGGCTTCTCTCGTGACACCTTCCTCCAAGTCGCTCATAATCTATGAGCCTGATTGTTCTAGGATAGTTTATCAGGCCTCTCTACAAAATCACTCCATGATGCGTAGAGTTTCAAGTGATGCTTGTAAGGTGACACTTAATTCATTGACTGAATCTTCTTGTTGTCTTTGCCAAGAACCCTGCCACGGTTAGTCCCCCTCATCACGTTGCATCTCCTGTTGGGATCAGCGTTGGAGAGCTCCAGTGTATAAGAGCATCTCCTTCCCACCTTGAGAAATTAACAGACAAGGCGATGAAGGCAAATAATCTCCCTTTCTTTCGTAAAGATTGAACTGTTTTAAAATTGAGTATTTTCTCTCTTTCAGGGCAGATCTTGAATGTTCTAGATGAGTTGAGACTGGCTAATAACACCCTCATCTACTTCTCATCAGACCAAGGAGCACATGTAGAAGAAGTGACCACAAGAGGAGAAGTCCATGGAGGAAGTAACGGAATCTACAAAGGTGAGAAATGCTGATGTTGATCAGCTCTGGCCTTTCGGCTCACCCAGGTCACCTTCTTCTTGATCTTAGAGCTTTGGCATTGTTCTTCTGCCGCTTTGCAATATCCAGATCCAGAGCTTCATTTTGTCACAGGCACTAAGCAGTCAGATGGCCAAAGGGGCCATTTCTGATAGGGTCCCCACAGAAATTAAAAGCACACATTCTATGTCAAGACAATAGAATGAGGATGTTTTCACCCAACTGTAAATACAGTCCCATGTTGTGTAGCTGATTAAAACAAGAACCCCTCTCTCCACTATGTGTTAGTCTCCTATTGCTGTTGTAACAAATTAACACAAACTTCCTGGCTTAAAGCAACACCAATTTGTGAACTTACAGTTCTGGAGGTCAGAAGTCTGAAATGGGTCTAGTGGTCTAAAATCAAGGTGACAGCTGGACTGTGTTCCTTCTGGAGGTTCTAGGGGAGAATCTGTTTCCTTGCCTTTTCCAGCTTCTAGAAGCCACTTGCATTCCTTGGCTCATGACCTCTTCTTCCATCTTTAAAGCCATCAATGCAGTATCTTCAAACCTCCCTCTCTCTCTGATCTCTGCTTCCATAATCCCATCTCCTTCACTTACTCTGACTCTCTTGCCTCCGATTTTAAGGACCCTTGTGATTATATTGGACTCACCCAGATAATCCATGGTAATTTTCCCATTTCAAGACCCTTACCTTAATCACATCTACAAAGTCCCTTTTGCCGTGGAAGATAACAGTTTCTGGAGGATGAGGATGTGGACATCTTTCGGAGGCCATTATTCTTCCTACCTCAACCTACAATAGCATTTTGAGTTGATACTTCATTCTTGATGCAGCATCGGCTAAGCCACCGCCATGATGGATCAGGCATCGTGCTAGTCATTGGGGATCTTGGATAAGACCCAGCTACTGACCCAAAGTTGCTTATACAGTGTACACTCTGCAAGTGCAGGGCACACATATCTAATCATAATAAAATGTGGCCTATTTCACAAAGACTTAAATGAGATGCCTAAAATGGCATATCCATGCTGAGGGTTAAGACATCTACCAGAATCTGCAGTAGATGTGGGTTGAAAGTACAACAGGGGAGGGTGAGTAGAAGTGCCCATGCAAAGACATGAAACATAGTGTCCCAGACAGTGGGTCACCTGAATAAGGCAAGAAGATGCACAAGACATAGAAAAGCACATAACCATCAAATTTTGCTAGCGTAAAGCAATAAAGTGCTTTCTCACTCTTTCATTATTCTCTCTTATGGATGTTTCAAAGATTCTGAGGGACTCTGGAAATCAGTTTACCTCCAAAGATATGAAAGGATAATATATGGAATGCTTTCATCTATTAATTGGTTCAGCAATATTGATTGAGCTGTGTATCTGGCACTGGGTCAGAAGCAAAAATAAATAGAAACTCTGGTTCCTGCCCTAAAGGAACACATGGTCACCTGATGGTTGGTTGGATGGGTGGGTGGGTGGTGGTGGCAAGCCTAGGGAGCCCCAAGCAATTTAATAGGGCATCAACATTTGTTTGCACAAGATGTTAGTGGCGCACACAGCAAGGAGGGCCTCACTCAGCCGAGGCAACCCAAGAAATGTTTCCAAAGGAGGCAGGGCTGGGAAGGAGTAGCCACAGGGTGTGCTTGCTCTCTTGCTCTCCTTCTAGCTCTTTCCACCCTCCCAACCACTACCCTGTTTTTTTTTTTAAAGAGTTTTTTTTTCAATTTTTCCTTTTTCTCTCCAAAGCCCACCAGTACATAGTTGTGTAGTTTTAGTTGTTGGTCCTTCTAGTTGTGGCATGTGGGACGCTGCCTCAGCATGGCTTGATGAGCAGTGCCATGTCTGTGCCCAGGATCCAAACCGGCACAACCCTGGGCCACCAAAGCGGAGCATGCAGACTTAACCACTTGGCCACAGGGCCGGCCCCCCAACCACTACCCTCTTTATCAGTGCTGGGAATGAAGAGAACCAGCAAATGGCTTGTTCTGCAGACTGCAAGGAGTTGAGTAATGCTGGATCACAGTGTGCCTGAGGCAAAGATATGGAGAAAGGGTAGTCTGTGATCCATCCCTATCGCAGCACATAACCTATGAAATCTTATACTTCAAAAAGGTTATGTGGGGTCCTATTAAATTCTGAGCATCTCGGAGCAGGGACCATTTCTTAAACCTGTGGTTACCTGGACTCTAGGACGAAAGGATTCCTCTTCACTGCTGGTCTGGACAGCCTTCATAGGATGTTCATACCTCTTCCTGCCTTTGCATCCCATCATTATCTCGCCAGCACGGGACACAGGACAGAGATTTAATGTGGGTTAAATGAATGAACTGGTATGTTTAATCTGAACAGGATTAACCCTACTAGGCTGCCACTCTTTCAGCCAACCCTCCTCTATTTACAGTCTTATTTTAGAGTAGCAAGAAGTGAAAACTTGTCTTCCTATTTATTAAGACGAGTTATTTCCATTGTATTTCCATGAGGTTATGGCCTGTGTGGAGACGGTTGTTTTTATTTGAGTTTATAGATGATGGCGTCTCTAAAGATGGAGTTACAGACCGCGGTTCATGCGCTGGTTCACCCATTCATTCCTTCTCCCGCTGAAGGCCTGTTGGGATCCAAAACAGCTTAGCAGCTACCCCTGAAAACTGTACATAAATCACAGTAATAGAAGTGGCCAGAAAGTAACACGTTATTTAAGAAAGTTACATATACAAAGCTAGGGAGCCCCACTTCTGGGAGAGATGACCAGAATACCTCCGGCTCTGAATCTGAGGAAGGCTGATGAGCAAGAGGAGATGGCACTGGCATTTGGCTTTGACAGCCGACTCTTGGGAGACATGAGCCATATGGGTCTGAAAGAGAGTGTCCAGGGTCCTGAATGATGGTTGGGAACCCAGGGTTACCATATAATCCCAGAGGCATGGCAATAGCTGCTCTATGATTTTTTTTTAGAAACGTATTGGATGTGTTAGAAATGTTTTGTTTGAGTGCTGGAAATACCATCAATGTATGACACTGTATTAATCTCTCTGCCACTACTCTATTGTGAAGCATTATCCCTTTGTCACATTTAGTTGAAATCAAGTTCACAGTGAAACATTGTTAAAATACAAGACATAGTTTCCTTCTGGCTATGGGAAATGACCAGACTTCTAAACATCAAGACATCTTGTTTTCTAAACCTGTGAACCCAAACACACTCCTATGGTTTATGCAAACACAGAGAGAATCAGGCCATTTAAACTCCCTGATCAAAAGAGCATTTTTTTCTGAACAATAATGATGTCTGCTCCCAACTAAAACCCTTCCAAATGATCACTACTGTTTGAGTTCAGTGACTCCGCTGTATTTCCCAATCATGTCTGTTTCACGAGTGAAATCTATGGGCTCACTTTGATGCGGGCTCAGTGAGTCGAGAGTTGAAAGAAAGATTTCTTGGACTCTCAAGGTCTGGCAGTAGTGCTCTTTTATTTAGAGAATAGCATGGGGACAGGACCCATGGGCAGTAAGAGCTGCAGGCATGGGGACAGGACCTATGGGCAGTAAGAGATGCAGGCATGGGGACAGGACCTTGCAGTAAGAGCTGCAAGGTGTTGAGGGTTAGAGCTAAATTTACAAGGCATAGGTATGTGAGTTATTTCTTTATAAGACAAAGGAAAGATCATGAAAAAATCGTTAAAATAGTATCAGTGCAGGTGGGGTGTGCTTATTGGGTGGTCCTATAACTTTAGATAAGAATCAGATCGGATTAAGTCAGGACATCCTATGCTTCCCAGAGGATGATATAGATCAGTATATAGGGCAGGGCGCCTTGGGCTTCTCTCCCCGGAGCAGCCTTGATCCTCATCAACTTGATAGAATGGCTGCGATTAAGTCATCCTTCCACAGAATTCAGCAGGTTATCCCTTTTAATCCTAGGAACATTAGACTCCTGCTGTAGTTTACATTTCATAAATAATGATTTAATATTATAGGGGTAAGGGAATGGTGACACCTCGAATTGTTTCTCTCACTTTTTTGTAAGGGAATGTGTTTGCAGAGTTATTACTCTGTTTGGGTTTAGATAGGGGTAAGTTTTATCTTTGTGAAAAGGCTCTAGCGTAAAAGGAAGTTGGGAGATGGCGGTAGGGTCCAATGTGCACTTTCACTCTAGCTCTAGTCGAATTGTAGCTGTCTTGGCAATGTCTTTCATATAATAGCTCCTGAAATATTTACTTCTGAGAACCTTCTAAAATAAATGTCCTTCTACTGTCCACATGTTCTGAATGATTGTGTCAATCTAATAAAACTAGTTTGCCAGTTAATTGTCCATATTCCCATTTAAGAACTAAGGACTCCTCCTCTCCTTTAGAGCTTCTGGTTAATTTGACAATGTTCCCATGCTGCATTGTTAGGATTTTCATTGAGAACAAAATAAATAAATAAGCAACAACAAAAATCCCATCCCCTTAAATGCAAATCAAAACTACACTAAGATATCACCTTACACCCGTTAGAATGACAAAAATATCTAAAACTAATAGTAACAAATGTTGGAGAGGTTGTGGAGAAAAAGGAACCCTCATACACTGCTGGTGGGAATGCAAACTGGTGCAGCCACTGATGCGGGGTCAGTGAGCCGAGGAGTCGAAAGAAAGATTTCTTAGACTCTTAAGATCTGGCAGTAGCGCTCTTTTATTTAGAGAATAGTGTAGCATGGGGACAGGACCCATGGGCAGTCAGAGCTTCTGCTGCCGCTGCTTCTGCTGCCCCCCGCTGGCATGGGGACAGGGCCCATGGGCAGGCAGATCTGGTGTGTGGGGACAGGACCCATGGGCAGTCAGAGCTCCTGCTGCTGCCCCGAGTTGAGGGTTAGGGCTAAATTTAAGGCATAGGTATATGATTCATCTCTTTACAAGACAAAGGAAAGAACATGAAAAAAAGTTAAAATGGTATCAGTGCAGGTGGGGTCTGGTCATTGGGTGATCCCATGACTTTTAGAC